TCATTCACTTTTGCTATCAGGAAGCGTGAACCTCAAAAAATATAAATAACCAAACAAAAGGGATTTTTCCTTTTTAAAATCCGAATCCGTTTTTTTAAAAGTGAAAGTCACGTTGATTCTATTGTCATATCTTCACGTCTTGAAGATTTTTACCGATGATAGGAAATAATTCACCAAAAGTTGAAGGTGTCAGCGATTAACATCCTGAAAGAAACTGGCACGGTGTTGGAAGTTACTGTGACTTAAACACGAAGGCGCGCTATATAAGGAAGTCTTCCCTGGGAAGACCTAGGCTCATTTGTCACTCACCGTTGACGTGTGCGGGTCAAATTTAAATGCTGGTAGACGAACAAAAGGAGCTAATGAGATATCTATTGTTTACTTCCACCAGCATGGTGGCATGAGGTAACGTGCGAACCACCTACTTCGATCTCAAATTTACCGCCACAAATAAAGACAGTTTCCATTGGAGAAAGGAAATACAAATCTCAAAAATTCTTGTATTGTGATGAAGACATAAAACAATTTTGAGGAATGCGCCCGCTGTTCACTGATTTGGAGTAGCTGTAGCTCAAGCTGACTTGACTCTAAGGGTTCTTACATCACACGACGGTTGATTGACAAATGGTCCAGTGGGACATAAGGCTCCTTTTATAGCGCGCCTTCGTGTTTAAGATTTGGTTGCCTAAACGACATCTTTGTTCCCAGGTCTGTTTCGTTTATCTTTGTTACTGGTGGCATGGCATTTCTTCTGCTAACATTTTGCTATGTGACTGTTGATGTCTTGAGATGGTGGAATGGTGCGCCCTTTTGTTACCCTGGTGAGTAGGAATTTTCAAGTGTAGCAATGGATAACGTATGTCTGCTCCCCCCTAGTCTTCCCATATTGTTAAAAGTGGACCTGCCACCAAAACATTTTTTTAAGGTGTGTGTCCTTGTGTGTTTTTTTAAAAGGCGTGAAGGAGAAGGATTTTACCTTTCAAATTATATTGTCTGTTGTAACCCAAGAATTTTTAAAGGTTCCCTGTCTTGTTCATCCTTATGCTTATTGGAGTAAAGTACCCATGTACATGTTTACTTTTACACGATACCCCCAACCCATCATAACCGAATCCGGTTTACAACAAAAAAAGTCGTGTACAACCGATTGAGATGAAAAATTTCGTTTCTTTAAAAGCCTCACGCTCTTTCTTTTTCGCGGGATAAATTGAAGCGAGAATTCTTCCAAAGTGAACTACCTTGTTTGGAATGAATCCGTGGCTACAATTCGATACAAGAGTTTAGAGCATCGTATCTGTAACTATGAGATACAACCGCCGTTTCGTTTTGTTCTACGAAATAAGTTACTATCACTCCCAGTTGTGTTTGATGGACCTTAATGGTTCATCATCTTTATATAGGTATGTATTCCGTTGACTGGGCTTCTTTCCAACCAACTAAAAGCAGCGAAGAGTGACATGACATGACCCAACATCTCACTATCGCGCATGCGAACCCAGTGGTCGATATATCTGTGAAAGACGAGAACAGAACTATCCAAACAGAACATGCAAACTTTTATGACCGGACAGAAATAATTAAACGCATATACAAGGTCTAGGACTTCTCATTAGTTATCAGGGAGGATCTGGAAACGTTATTGAAGATGCATCGTGTAGCTAGACACCTTCCTACTTGCCCTAATCTTTTTTTCTAATTCTGCTAAGGTGTATTTCCTGCATAACTGGCGTAGATGTCACCATCAGCTGGCTCATTTAAAAGTAGTTCTTGTCTTGTGACAACCGTCAAATCATCTTAAATGTACCAATATTTAGGTCACGGAAATATTTTCTCCGCGCCACGGTACTTTCAATACCCCTTTGTTTGCCAGGCGAAACAAATGAGATGACTTATAAAGCTGTGACGTCACAGGTGGTCTTGTTTGTCTAGCTTACTTCGATAAAATTCGACGCAGGAGATTAAAGGTCAACAGGCTAAACCTTCCTTTTGAAGAAATTGAGAATAAATATTTAATTTCTTGCAGGAATGAACTCTATTCTAGTTTACGTGGGAAGTGAGATTCTGGGAAGGTACTTTCCGTTTTCGTGGAATGTCAGTGGTCAGGTGCAACACGCAGAACTACTTGCTATGAACCTGGTTGGCACAGCCGTCTGGCTCATCATTTCATACTACCTTTACTCCATTAAGTTTTTTGTCAAAATATAACTGATAAAACCGCGTATAAGCTTTTAAAAGTAACGCAGTGGTTGGTTAATCGAGTATCTGAAGCCATCCGTAAATAATTCACACTTAGAGAGGTAATAATGACAGAAAGCATGATAACACCAAGGATTTTACGTCTGTGATTGCTTACAAGCGCTAGTTAAAAATGTTTCAATACAGGTCAAAACGGGGAACGGTAACGGTAGTGAAACGTGCAGGAAAACCTGTATCCTGTGTTAGTCCAGGAAAGCTCGACCTCATACATGCAGTTTGAGGCAAGTGCAGGAAAAGGTTCAGTTTGTTCTTATACCCCATTGGCTGATTCGTTAGTATGTCTCTTTTGGGTTGTGACCAGTGTAGGTTTCAGAACGCTTAGGCCAAGTCATTAATTTAGAAAAGTATGCTTAGAATTTTAGTGATGAAAATTGTGAGAGTGAAAAGTTGAACTTATTTCTTACGTCGGCTTGGCCACCTCGAGCTCTTTTAAGAATGGTTTGCTCCTTCTTTAAAAACTTCATACCAGTCCTTTGTGTTATTCATCAACTATCAATCAGTATCAATGGATGATTTGTCCAGTTCTTCAAAGCGGGCTGAGGTCTAGTTTTGTTATTTGAAAGGGTAATTTTTCAATAATTTTTAAAAGTCAGAGTATTGTATAGAATTTAAAATAGAGCAAACTGTGTTTTGAGATTAAAACAGTGTAAAGGTTTATACGATTAAAAAAATAAGAGTGATATCCATAAGCTGATCTTTGGTTAGTTTTTAATTATTTACTTGATCACAACTAGACGTATAATCCCTCCATCGGTATAAGTTTCAAGTCTTATTTTGGTTGAAAATTATTCCTTTTTATCCACGTTTACGTCTTGTCAAATTTGAGCGCTTTCCTTTTATCTAAATACGTCTGCATGGGTAAATAGTCAATTCTGTTAAAACCTCTGGCGGCGAGTTACATTTGATTTAAATATTCACTCACTTTCACGCATTTTTCCATGGAAAATGTTAAATTGGAGTTCGTCAAAATGCTGTGAAACGGCCTATTGTTTGTTTGTTTTCAGTCCATACGTTGAACTAAAGAATTCGTTTAATCTCTGCCATTCTTCATTTCAAGAATCTCATGAATATTATATTTTTCTCGTGATCAATGAGGCATGCTGTTTACATTTCATGCATCACTGAAGTCCGGGAAAATCCCGGCTTTCAGTTTCTGAATTACAACGCAGTATGCGCTTGAAGGAGCCAAAAGCAAAACATTTTGGAACTCACGCCATCAAATCGCATGATCTATGATACAGTAAAAACAGCGTTTACGTTGAAATTGAGGTCTTGCTTTGCAAGTGAAAAAGGGATGTACGGATGTAGTTCATACTAAACCCTAAGTTTACCTTTGTCGAGTCAGTTACTTCGGTACTCAACATGCATGTCGAGACTTGCCTTTCTGTGACGTTATCTTAAACGATCGAAGGACGATTTGAATTGATGAATAAACAACCATGGAAGCAAGAATGCCTTGTGATATCCGTTTTCGTCTGGCACCCCAAAAGGTAGGTTATGGTTGAGAAGTCAACAAATATTCCTACCTAGTCCAGAAAAGACTGTTTTCAATGCAAGAATAGTGTTGAACACACTGGACCATGCGATGGAATATTCTTGCCAATGTAACACTACAGTCCTTGATTGCAGTCAGTCTACTTCTCATCGATTATTCTCTGATGAAGTACATTTATTAGTTTTTAATACCTTTATCTTTAATTTCAAGACAAATCCTATAGTGGACTGTAAGTATTATTAAATCAAATAAGAGGATTACGGAAGTGATCGCCAAGGTTTGAAGCTCTTGGTCGCTAATCAAATTCTCCATATCAACACCATTGGCAATGTATAGGGAAAAGTTGAATCGTAAGGGGAAGTAGATACTGATAACTTTTAGTAATAAAAGAGATCAGTGATGTTACACTGAATATTGTAACCAGCAGTTATGGATTGGTGCTCAGTTCACCCATAATTTTCGCAATTGTCGGAGGGTTGCATGAATGGAGGTAGACACTACACTTGACGTATCGGTCAAGTTGTCAACAATTTATTCTCTATTGATTTAGTTTTTCCAAAAATGACAGGTGTAATATTGTGGATCTTTCCGGGTTTTATTCCTGATTTTAAGGTGCGTGGCAACAGAATCAAATGATTTGTTTTGAAATACCATCACAGGAATTTCCCATCTTAAACAGGTTTCATTTTATGATCAAGATCTCAGATTGTAATTATGACGTTAAACTCTTAAGATTTGTCGTCGGATTTTATTTAAGGCTTTTTACGTAGATTTTCAATCCGAGGAAATTTCCATTCTATTATTGCTTAGTGTCTTTGATCGTTCCGGTGTCGGTTCACGGGATGATGCGCAAATGTTGCTCACGGAAATAGTCACCATCTCGACGAGCCATCTCTAGAGGCAGCCTAATTGATTAATTGATTAATCATGGGTCATGAACTACGGTCGAGGCAGTATTTCTTTCTATTGTTTTGTTCTCCCTACCGGGGAAGATAATTCGAGGCTTTGCGGCTGATAATTTCTTTGTTTGTCTTATTTTTATAATCATTGTGGCAGTGGTGGAATGACTGTACAGAGGAACGTGTGAGAAAACGAAAATGAAAATATAGAATGCCCTTTTTTTAAATAGGAAAAAAGAAGACTAATGAAGCCGAGTCTCGAACGTTTTTCAATCCTTAGTTGACTTAAGCATAAAGTTGACTCGAATAAATTGGCATTTTTGAACGGATTCGAAACGGTCTGATCGCCGAGCGTTTGTGTTGTACAAAGCTGATAAAAATTCTCTTGCATCACGGGCTTTTGGTTGACTTAAATAAATGGAATACTCTAATGAGCACCTCAACTTCTTCCAGATATGTTTCATCGCAACCAACATTGTCACAGAAGGGCTTCGCAAGATCTTCAAACAACAGTGGGATAAGAGGTACAAGCTGAAGGCCTCGTTTGGAGTGTGGGTGGACTCTCGTAAGAATGGTCTTGATTTTGAGAGGCTGGAACCGCTGGATAGTCAAACGAAAAATGCAAGGTTGCTAAAAGTTATACGAAATGGCAATACTAAAGAGTGGGATTGTACAGCACTTTCTTTTGAAATTTTATTCTCAACAAGCATCGGAAAGAGTTTGAATTCATCGATTTACAGACACGTCGATGATCTTCGAGTGTTTCGTAATGACATATTTGCTCATGTCGCTAATGGAACGATTCCAGATTCAAAGTTTAACTCTTTAATTGGAAGAGTTAAAGCAGCGTTCCTGGGGTTAAGCCTATCTGTTTGTGATATAAGATCGATTGCTAATCAAAAGAGCTTCCCCACAAAGGAATGGAGACTTCTAAGGAATCAGCTACTTCAAGAGCAAGAGGCAGTGAGAAGCTTGCAAGAAAAATCATCATCTCTCGAGGAGGAACTCAAGTCAAGACTTAAAACATTTTTGGGAAACCTTCCGACCCTACCTTCTCATGCGATTCAAGAGCGCCCATCTGAAGTGTCGATTATATTGGGACAGATGAAGGAACTCAAGGTGAGCAACGGAGGAGTAATAAGTACAGTATACCTCTTCGGTAACCCTGGTTGCGGCAAGAGTCAGATTGCCAGAATGGTCGGGGATATGTTTTACAAACAGTTATCTAGCAATGATCCAACTTTCGTTGTTAGTCTAATTGGTGAAACATTGGAAACGTTGTTTAGCTCGTATGACCGTCTGAGCAGAGCTCTTAGTTGTACAGAGTTTGCAATCAGTAGGATAATAACATCTAAGGACTCACTAGCAGAAAAGTTGGAGCAGTTCCAGAGATTGGTTACTCCAAAAATGAAAGAATTCTCTTCTTGGCTTATCATAGTTGACAACGTCGTTGACCTTGATGCTGTTCGAAGATTCTGGCCAACCTCTGGAAGTAGAGAGTACGGAAATGGACAGATTCTTGTCACAACGCAAGAGAGAAAATCACTCCCTGGCAATGGCCCTCGTAGTCACTGCATTTCTCTCAGTCAAGGTATGGACCCACAAGATGCAGTTAATTTGCTAACTAAAGTTTCTCAGACGCCAAATCAAGAAGAAGTGGAAGATTTCGCAGAAGCTTTAGACTATCAGCCTCTTGCCCTTGCATGTGCAGCTTGGTACCTTTCCAATATGCGGTGTCGTGGATCGCCAAACTTCAGCTGGAAGAAGTATTTAAGAAAACTGAAGAATGGAAAAGAAGAAGCCATGGGGGAGATAAAGAAGAAATGCGAAAGTGGCTACACGATGTCAATGCCTGTCGCTGTGCGCATGGCGGTGGATAGGGCCGTTGCCAATGAAAAACTGCTACTTTACACTTTTCAGTTCCTTTTCATCTGTGCCCCCCCCAGGTCAATTCCGATAGAAATTGTCGTTGATTTTGTTAGACAACAAATCCCAAATTTCGACGATGAAGACGTTTAATCTAGAATAATGGAATCAAGTTTGGTGCAGATCTCATCCACAAAAGACGGTAAAGAGACGTTGTGGCTTCACCAGAGTTTGTATCGAGCCATTAAAAGTAGCATTCCACCAGAGGAAAACATTGTAGCTATATCAGCGGCCCTCTCCCCTTTGCAGAGATTGACGGTTAATTATGCCGGCCTCGATTTCACCAGTTTTTGTGGAGCATTTGAGCGCTTTCTTAAAATATGTAATTTTGGTTCAGCTCTCATTCGTCAGAAACCCTGAATTCTATGGTCAAATTTCCAAAGTTACAGTACTAGGTGACTTTTTTGAGTGCTTTCTTTCATATGCCTTCGCATGCCTTAACTACGGCAAACTTCCAGTTGTAAATCAGAGCATGGAAAAAGTGAAGCACTTCATGCAGATGGACATAACTGTGGACGAAAAGACCTTTTCTCTTTTATTTTTCTTTTGTGGACGTGCCTCAGTTGAGTTCAGTGAACTCGTTGATGCAATCAAATACCTAGAGAGGTCTCTCGCCATTAGGCGTCGTATTTGTGGAAACAAACACCAGACTGTGGCAGAATGTCTGCGTTATTTAGGTCGCGCGAACTTCAATCTGTCATGTAATGAGGAAGCTGCTGAGTTTTATCAAGAGGCCCTCGCTATCTTCCGCCAGATATATGGGTTGAAACACAAAGATGTAGCAGAATGTTTAGTTGGATTAGGAAATGCAAGAGGTAAACTTTCCTATCATGATGAGGCAGACGAGTATTTTCAGGAAGCATTGTCAATTTATCGTGAACTTTTTGGCTCGAAGCACTTGATAGTGGCGCGCTACCTACATAATCTTGGAACTTCGAGCATTAATCGTGGTCACTATGAAAAGGCTGAGCGATTTCTTGAGGAGGCTCTTACCATCCAAATCGAGATTTCTGGAGAAAAGGAAGAACGGGTGGCAATTATTTTAAACAATTTGGGAAGACTTCACTTGAAGTGTTTGCGCTTCGAAAAAGCCAGGCAGTTCATGGAAAGAGCGTTCAACATCAGATGCGCCATTGGTAACCAGTTACGTATAGGACGGAGTCTGTACTTCCTTGGTTATCTCAGTGAGATGGAGTCCAAAATAAGCTCTGCTGAAGATTACTACTGTCGATCACTAACAGCAATTCGCCAATATGACCTTCCGGACAATCACCTCTACGTTAGAGAAACAGTTGAGGCTCTCCAAGGAATAAAAAGCAAGGCAGAAAATCAAAGGAAAACTATCGTCAATCTCCCAATCTCAAGGAAGAGAAAAGCTGCAAACTGGCCAGATTAACATTCCAGATAAGTTATTAAGTTCTGAGTATCGGCATTGTAAGAAAGACCATTGCCACATTTAAAGTACATTTTTAAAATGATACATTTTTGGTATTGCTAACTTTAAGTGTCTCTATCAGCTTTAATCCACTATTTGTCGGCAAGTTTCTGTCAAGCCTGTGCTTTCAAATGGAAATATTGAACAATACTGAAAAAGATACTTAACAGTGGATATTACCATATCTTGAGCTTGAAATATGTCTTCATTTTAGCGCTGCTCACCTTGCAGTTCTGTATTTCTCGTTGTAGAGATCGAGAGAAATAATGGTGCTCTCAGTTTCTTGTAACTAAAATATGAGCTTTCCCTTAACGGGTATCTTGGGGCCATAGCAGATTGGCCGCACAAGAGAGGTGGGCGTTAAGAGGATACTGTCGCTGACCTCACTACAATCAGAAACATGGTTAAAGACATCCATGATTCATTACAGTGGTAAAAATATTAGTAATAGAAAATGGAAACCAGACCTCAAACCTATAACACATCTTTGAGGTTGTTAAATTGAAACAAAAACAATATGTATATACTTTAAAACTTAAAAATGATTATCCTTGCTAACGCTTTGTTGTAATTATTCACTCTTGCTTCATTAATGCAAGTTCCTTTCTTGACACGTAGGTGCAGCTCCACTCCATTGTCCATTCTTGCAAGTTATTGCTTTTAAGCCGACGAGTCGAAAATTCCTATTGCAACGGAATCGAACTACCCGGTTATGTCTGAAATCACTTGCATTCCGCCTGCCGTTTTTGGGCGTGCCGGGATTTGAGCAGGGGGCTGAAAATCAAAAGGAAAATGAAACAATATGTTTGGTGCAAAAAGATTCAATATCATTACTAAAAAACAGTATAATTTTATTGACAGTATTATCAATCTAGCGTTCGTGGATTTTTCACAAACGCTGAATACAATAACAGGATCGTTCTATGAATAAAGAGACGTTGATCTGTGTCCACAGCCTACACTGCCACTAGTTTCCCACATTCAACTTAGCCAGATTTCTTCTTTACTTCCAATACACATCAGCTTCCACAAAGAATAAATGACCAAATGGGTATCGGTCATGTTAAACAACGAGAAAAATTTTTCCTCACAAACTAGCTTAACAAGGCAGGGGAAACTCCTCAGGCCCTCACAATGAATTATCTTGGCGTTTCATTTCTGTGCCTCCTGTGCCTTCTTTCTAGGAAGGCCGTAAGCACTGTCCGAGTCCGTAACCTTCCCCCAAGTTCCTTGCCGTTTTCAAAAGGGCGCACTATCGTTAGACACTCGTAACATTTCCAGTGACTCGTCCTGGTTCAGTTCCGACACAGGCCAACGTTGAACAAATGTGATCGGGTTTCTTCGGTTTCATTTGAATTTTTTTTCGGGTTAAGTTAATTATTTTTTTTAGAGCCTCACCTCTACATTTCGACATAGTTATCGATTTGAACGTCCGAGTTTCGTCGTGAAACGTTCCCACATGTGCGTTTAACATATCCTTAGATAGAAAATTTGTACGCACATGCAGTCATAGACTACATTTTATTTCATTTCCTTTTTCATTGTGTTTACAGAAAAATAATATCAAGAATTCTGCTAACCTAAACAGTTCGGCTTAGGTCTGCTCCAGGTACCATCTCTCATGCAGTAGATTATATGTGCTCCAACGAGTTTGTGTTTTCTTGTGCAAGAAAATCGCACAGAACCAGTGTGGTACAATCCGCGAGTAATTTTTCTCTTTCCGTTTTCTGGAGTCCCGGGATCGCTACAAACAATCACTGAAAAACATTCGAAATTAGTTAGGTAGTTAACTAAGTGGGCTAACCTGGATAGTGTACTTGTTCTTCAAAGTTACGCATTGTAAAAACAATACATAAAAAAAAAAATGGATGGAAACAAAGCCAAAGTAATAGGAAAGTTATTTCAGTGATCGATCAAAAGACAGTGGTAACAAGGTAACACTGCAACACAGCTCCAACGCAGGGATTAACAGTTTTTTGACATTTCTTGAAAGGGAGAATCTAAGGTCTCTGACACTGCTGCGACCAGGAGACGTATGACCCAAGTTTCTGTTTTCTGTCGCGTTTTGCCTGTAACTTAGCCAACTTGCTTCTAAAGGTGCTCACAAAACCACTTAATTGTAGCGTTCACCTCCTTTAATATATCAGAGGGTCAAGTTAAGTTAATCTACGAAACGGACTTACAATCACAAGATGGCTGTGTACCGCTCCATTGTCCATTTGGGAGACACGTCCGTATTGACGGTCCTACCAATTTATATTGCATGCCAACGCAGCGGAATTTCACTTTTCCTTTGAAAGAGGTGGATGCTTCGACAATCTCTCCATTGGAAGGAGCAGTAAGGGGACGACAGTCCACCGCTAGTGAGTCAAATTAATTACTGGATTAAGTGCGAACGAGCTGTAAGGTGGTGTTACGAGGGTGTTGTATAAGTCAAACGGTCTCTAAGTCTGTTGCGTTGTCAATCAGTCCCCACTAAGTCTTCTTTGCAGGAATATCAATCTCTTGGAGTGAGCCATGCGTGACCACCCGGAGAAGAGGGAGGTCACGCATGGCATTACAATGCGTAAGGAAGCCTTTACGTTAGTCGATAAATACAATGAATGAATATTGCCAAGAGCGAAGAAAACGATTCCGACAAAGGAACCGTTAAGAATCATTCAATCTATCTAATTTGTACTCCAAATAATTTTTGACTTTCCTTTTAAGATAGTTTTGTTTTCTTCTGAAGTTACAGATGATTTTTGAAGCGAGGGCGATTTTTTCTACTTCACGTTGAGTGCCTCTTAACCTCGATAGGTTTTAGGAAATCCAATTACTCTTGTGTCGCGACCTAACGGTATAAAAGGTTAGCTCACTCTCACAGCGGATATTGTAAGTCCCTGTGAAATTCGTTCTTAGCCGTATGAATTGGCTCATTTGTGATCTCAAAATTACCGAGGTAATTTTCTTGCAAGAAAAAACGAACAAACGAGGCAAACAAACAGGCAAACGTACTCGTGCATCGGGCTGATGTTCCACTCCACGTTCCGTTGGCTTGGCATAAACGAGTCTTAGATCCCATAAGAGTATACCCAGGACTGCAGGAGTACTCGACCGTTCTATTGTACGTGAACACATAACTGCTTATTTTGCCATTTTTGATACGTCCTGGGTTACCACAAGATCTTGCTGTGCGAGAGAAAAAATTGTGAACAGATTTCGTAAATAACTTTTGAATTCACAATACGTCAGAATGTCGCTAAACAGTGAATTTGACAGCATTCTCCCCCAACTCTGAGCTCACATGAAAATCAGATGTCTAAGCGATATGGAAAGGCAATAGAAAGGGAAAAACATTTTAAAGATGTAATTTAATGGGTAAACTTTTCGTGAAATTCTACCCAATCTGATGTTTCTTCATTTAATTGTTTGTGTTGCTGCTGGTTAGTGCTCTGGATTTATACTTTCTTCCTGTAACTAAAAGATCTTAAAATACTCACGTTGACATCTGAAAGCCAGTTTAGTCCACTGTCCATTCGCACATCTTTGAATGGGAAATCCAACCTGCGAGTATCCCAGATTGCACCGATAATACACTCTTGCACCGTCGGGAAACACTTCCATCTGAGACTGCACGAGTCTTAGATATGCATTCGGCGGAAGAGTAGGCTTCCTGCATGATTTGGTGGTGTCTGAAAGGATGTTGTGAATAAATCTTATACCAGGATTTCTTAATAGCAAAAGAAAATAATTAAAATTTATTTTTTCAGACTCCATGCGCTTGTGGCTTCTTCCGAGAGGAACTCAGTACAGCTTCGCTCTCGTGCACCCAGATAACACTCGAAATTCTCTCACCACTTTGCGATATTCTTTCTAAATACTACAATATTTTGAATGTGTGGTCATTCAAGACTCTTAAATCTAACCCTAGCCCTAACCCTACACGAAGCAAAATTAACCAATTTCACGTTTAACTTGCCCGCTCCCTCTAATGACCTAATATCAGCCTCTTGGAGTGAGCCATGGGTTACCTCCAGGCGACGAGGGAGACTAGCCTTTTCATCAGTCGATAAATACAATGAACGAATATTGTCCATTCATACTCAATAAATTTCTTGCCGTAACTCCGGTCTATCAATTGACCAGAGTACAAAGTTGGGGTACAAAAAACACATGCAGTCACAGACTGCTGTTTATTGTATTTCGTTTTCACTGTCATTACAGAAAACAAATCAAGAATTCCACCAACCAAAACATTCCGGCTCAGGTCTAAGTCAGTCGCTTTGTCACGTAGAGTTACCCAGGACGAACTTACTTTTTCACTTATTTTCTTTACAAATTTCAGCCGACCGTTTACATAAAGTTCTTGAGTCGTCCCGGTCAATAATTGTAACCTTGCCAATAGCCTAGTGCAAATTACCTTTACAGAGGGGAGCTCTCTTGTCCCATTTTCCATCAAAACACTCACTAGACGCGGAGCCCTGTAATATATAACCTTGATCGCACCAGAACTGAACAACCGATTGGTGTTGGTGGTTATCGCCGAAGACGAAACCGTTAACTGGTGGAATTGGAGGAGAACACGGAGCTGGAAGCAAAGTTATGAACCAAAAAGTGAAGCTCGTCCACTTCGGTATTTCTAAGAGTATTTTCTTATCTTTGATCTAATTATCATCATAAGTATTTACCACTGCGGTGGACTTTATTGAAACATTTTTTTTCGTTTGTCACAAACCTGACGATGTTTAGAGAACACTGAACTATTTGGTGTCAATATCAGCCTTGTTTTAGCAACAACCGAAGCGAGATAAACAAATTTTTTTTTAATTCTATTGTACCTCTACAGATGGGTCTAGTTCCATTCCATCGCCCATCGACGCACGTGACGACAGAAGAGCCATCTAACAAGTACCGATCGTCACATGTGTATGTAACACTGTCTCCTGCATAGTTACTTCCGTTGTAAGAGCCATGTCTTATGTTGGTAAGGGCAGGACATAACGCTGGAAACAGGAAAGGGACATTTAGTTAGTTAACTCACCCTGTAAGAAACTTAAGGGTGGAAGGAAATTCGCACATTTTAACTAAACTTCGGTTACTCTCTGTGAAAGTGCGGAAAGGGGTTGCATGTGACTCCCCTCGCTGTGTGAAAAGTGACAATTTAAGCAACAACAGCAATCACAGCCTGGGATATCCCACTGCTACACGCCACTGAGATGGTAGTGTAGGATACCCTACTAGAAAATCCTGGCAATACTTTTTCAGAGAGTGGAAAACGAGGAGGTTACAAGAGTTCAAAAAAGCACATGGTTAACAGACTAAACTCCCTCTTTTCTTAGATTTCACTAACTCATTAACTTACTTCAAATAAAAAAAACACCTCATTATTATTTTGCATGTAAACGTTAACCTCCGTTAAATGATACCTCTACATGTGGGTACGTTGCCACTCCATGCCCCATCACGGCAAGTGATTCTGTTCACTCCTGTTAGTTTAAACGTACGTTGGCAAACAAAAGACACGCTTCTTCCGTGACGGTAATCTGCCCCGATTTTGCGACCATTCCGTGGTTTACCAGGATCAATGCAAGATTCTACATTAAACAACAAAATAAACACTTTAGTCTCAGTGATGGCGAGATGGTAAATTAGTAAGTCAATCCTGAAAGATCCCACGGAACAAAAAAAAAAAAAAAAAAAAGGAGTGGAGTGGGGTAAACAATGATGCTCTCGCAGTCTCAAGTTAACATTAGTAATAGGACTAAGTGGAATCCGCGAAGCGGAAGTCTGACTTTTTAATATCGAGCATGATTAAAGACAGAATTGGACAACACGAAATGCGCGTGAAAAGTGCGCACATGACGCATGCTGCCCCCCTACACAGGCATAACGTGTCAACCCTCTAATTATACCTTCCAATTACAAGCATGACTCGTACACTGTCCTATTAGTGTTCAAATCGGGCTGGTGACAACCACTCACTTTCGAGAATTTTATTATAGCTTTCATTAACTGAGTACTTTTCACCTGTGTGTCTGAAGTAATCAAGGATCCGACCTTCTTTTACATGCAGCGCTCTGCGATTACTCTGAAAAGACTGACGAAAGATCTTAGCCGAAGAAGGTTCTTTCGCGCGAATTTGTCTACACCTAACTAGACAAAGAAATCACATTGCGTCTCAGGAAATACATGTCTTCCATTGCAAATGTCATTTCCCCCATGATCGAAATTTTCAAATTGAAAGTCTTAAGTCAATACACCAACTAGAAATGACAGCCACTTACTTTTACACTGCGGTACAGATGAACTCCATACTCCTTTCTGACACCTTATGACCTTCCTACCAATTAACATGTGGCCATGATTACATGAAAAACTGACTGTCTTTCCATGCTGAAAATTGTCGCCTGTCCTGGAACCATGGCGTGGAGCTCCTGGATTCTGGCAGCTGGCTAGAAACGAAGAAAGTAACGACCCAATTAAATTTACAACCCCAGAAGAACGTCAGTGAATAAAAACATAGCTGTGGTAATGACGGTAATTCAGGCAAGAGGAAAGGCAACACAGTAAACTAGAAAATTTGCTTTAAACTGCTTGAGAAGTTACCGTATTCATTTGTGATATCGGATCTCACACACGAAGAATATGTGGAACTAACTTTGAGTCATTGTTCTCATCAGTTATAATTCTCTAAACTGCTATTACCCTTGCTTACCTGAACATACGGGAACTCTGCTACTCCATGTTCCATCACTGCAGGTTAAAGTCTCGTTACCAAGAAGCTTAAAATCAGTTTGACAAGTAAACGTTACATTCCTTCCGTGACGGAAATCATTCCCTTTCCTTTGGCCGTTTTTTGGTGTACCTGGATTATTGCAAGTCTCTGAAGGAAAAATATGAAAAGACACATTACAAATGAGATTTGTGTCACTAAATGGAATAGCAATGAGTATGATTAAAATCAATGGTATAGCGTGCTGTTGAATGAAGATGCAAGGCAGCAAGTGACTATTAAAAAAAAACTTTTAAACAACAAACTGATAGGTAAACTTGAAGGAAGGAATCTCAGTTAAAACTTGTCCTATACAACGAAGATCATTGAGTATGTATTCATAGTAACCAAAGCTTTTAATTATTAGGTCAAAATTCTTTTGAAATGAAACGTCTCTTACTTTTACACTGCGGTAAAGATGATGAACTCCAAACTCCGTTCTGACACCTTATTGACCTACTACCGATCAACGTGTAACCACTTTTGCACCAAAAATTGACTATTTTTCCATGTTGGAAGTTGACGCTTGGCCTTACACCATGACGTGGAACTCCAGGATTTTTGCAGCTAGCTAAGAAAATGACAACAGCAATACTGTGAGGCTAAGGATTACACAGACCTTTCACAAACTTCGCGACCTTTCACAGTAAAGTCAAGATCCCTCGAGGGTTTCCAAATTAATTTTCTTCGCATCATTAAACGAATAGAAGCATATGACAGGTTTATACAACACATTCCGTTTGTCTCTTAATGCTCAGAAGCTCAGCTCGTTTCAAGTAAAACTTTTCATCTGCAAAACTTTCATTAATCAGAAGAAACTCTTGAGCCCAAGTCTTTTGAATTAAACTCAGCTAAATAAATATATCAGGCCGAAATAAAGATAACTGAGTAATAATCGACATAACATTTTATTTACTGGCTTGCAGTTTTCCGAATACAAGGAGAGTTCTGATTGCACAAAGGTATGCTCAGTTTTCTCCTTGCTTACCCATACACACTGGAACTCTGCCACTCCATGTTCCATCACGGCAAGTTATAGCTCCACGACCAACAAGCTTAAAATTAGGTTGACATGTGAACGTCACTGTCTTTTCGTGCTGGAAATCACCGCCCCTTCTTTGGCCGTTGTTAGGCCTACCTGGATCATTGCAACTCTCTGGGGAAGTAAAAATGAGCAAAACAAATGAGATTTGTGTTGTAAAATCGTTTGGCTTTCTGTCGGACAGCGTGCAGTTCTTTGCCCTGTATCAAGGCCAAAGATATCAGACTGGAAGGTCTGAAAGGTCCTAAAGCTTACCGCCAAAGTGACCAAGGTTAGAATAAATTATTTAATCAACGATCTAAAACATCTGTTAGTAATCATAGTCACTTACTTTTACACTGTGGTAAAGATGAACTCCATACTCCTCTCTGACACCTTATAGCCTTTCTGCCAATCAACTTGTAGCCACGATTACATGAAAAACTAACAGTTTGTCCGTTTTGAAAATTGTCGCCCGTCCTGGAACCATGAAGTGGAACTCCTGGATTTTTGCAGTTGGCTAATTGCAAAACGATAACAACAAACATCGTAAAGCTCTGACAGCAAGGACAATCATCAAAATCTTCAACGATTTAAGGAAAATCCGGAATGTAACTGGGCCGAGAAAGCAACAAGCACCTCCTAAAAGGTCCAAAACTTTTACCTTGACACAGATAAATATGGTAAATTGCCGATTTTCCACTTTTCCGTTGTCTCTCAATACCTATATTCTCCCCTCGTATCGCGTGTTCACCTGATGCTGTTTGAATTTTGTTTTTTTCTTTTTACTCTAATTAAAATTGTCACAGAAAAGGAGGTACTAAAGGTCGTTCCTTTCATGAAAAAGGATAACGAAGTGTTTTCCGCTGAATTACTTCAGGGTGAAATTTTTCGCTCTGATCATATTGATTTCATATCACTTCTGTCATTTCGGATAGCGCAAGGAATGTGCTATTATCCTTGCTTACCCATACACACAGGAACTCTGCCACCCCACGTTCCATCGCGGCAAGTAATATTCCTGCCTCCGACAAGCGTAAAATCAGGTTGGCATGAAAAAGTTAATTCACTTCCATGATCAAAATCGCTGCCTTTTCTCTGACCATTTTTTGGTGTACCCGGATCATTGCAATTCTCTGATGAAGAAAAGAGGAACAGAAAGGAACCATAACCTCTTAGCCATGGGGTGAATAATCACGACAAAATTAAACAGCTATATGGCGTTCTGTTAAGCACACAAGTACACACCTTCCAGCCTGCTTAACAAGATTGAGCCGATATTGTACATAATCGCAAAAAAGTAATAAGAATAAAAATAATAATACGATCACACTGAACCTCAAGACATACACTTCATTGTACTACTCTTTCAAGCTATTTATAAATTGAAATACAATTTCGGAAAGTATTCCAACACAATTTCCCCAGACCACCAACCATGCTGGGAAAATTTTGGGTAACTCAAGACGTCATCTTAAAAATTATTGTGAAAGGAGGAAAAACTAGACTGCTGAGTACGCTTTACGTCTGGAGTATTACAAGTATTCAAGTAATTGTTGCTTACTGAAACAACTCTTGCCATTTCCAACTGAGCCTACGTTACATTTGCACGTAAAAGAACCAATGGTATTTGTGCACTCAGCGTTGGCATGACAACGGGATACTCCCTCTGAACACTCGTCAATATCTAGGGTGAGAATCACACGAACGAGTTATTTCATCACATTTATGTTTCAAGAGTTCCCTTGTGTCTGGTTTTCTCAAAGACAGAGTCAGTGTCTTACTCGGGGCCCAGTGGTTCGAAGAACCATTAGCGCAAACCTAGGCTTAAATTTCAATCCTTTCTTCATAAGCCTTTTAGCATATAATCGTCTCTATACGTTTAAAGGGCATCCAATCTCCAAATTGTAAACAAAAAAACTGTACTTAATTGTCATTTAAAAGTCTATCTGAAATCAGAATTGACTCTGGGTGAATACCGGATTATCTTAACTTAGAACAGCCCGGACAAGGAGAGCAAAACGCTCCGATTTAAGAGTCAGAGATTCAGTTAGGAGACACTACCTCTGATCTAAAAACATCCGAATACCAAACTTGTGAAGTCGCAAAAAGTTTTCGCGAAAAGAGTTTCTTCTATTCTGATTTAAGTATGCGTGCTCCTCTTGACAATGATTAAATTTTAGTCGATTAAAAGGATGTAACCGAACTATACCTGTACACAAAGGAGCTGTTGAGCTCCACTTTCCATCGAGACACCTGATGTTTGATGACCCAATTAATTTAAACCCTGAATCGCACGAAAACTTCGCTTGTTCTCCGTGACGGTAACCAGGTTTGAAATCAATAGCTCGGCCATTTACAGGAGCAACAGGGTCTGGACACGAGGCTTCAGATGAACAAACAAAAATACAAATTTATTAAAAGTGAATCGACTCGACTGGACTATTAGACTGAATGATGAGTAGAAGGATTCTACAATAACACATGATATCATCTGATATGTCAGGTATTCGAACCCATATATGCTTCCAACCAGATTTCACAAACAAGTGTCCAATGGAACTAAATTAATGTAAAGCGAGGCCCTGTCTATCATTTGCTGATTTCAAAAGCTATTTTTCAAAGAATTTTTGACGGTGACATAGCATGGTAAAATTTTGAAAAGGCGAAGTGGCTATTGGTTAACCAGTCCACTTGTGCCTATCAAAATAAGGGGACACCGTCGTATCATTCTTTTTATCACACATATTAGACCCGCACATATCATATTGAACACCAAGATATCTGGGAAAAACAAATGAACGTGAGTTGGAGAACAAAATCATCTTGATGTTGCTAAACGCCTCTTATAAGACCTACCTTTACACTTGGGTGTAGGCTTATTCCATTTTCCAGCTACGCACCGCAAAATTGGCGCACCAATCAGCGTGTGACTTGGTCCGCAACTAAATGCCACGGCCTGACCATCAAGGAAGGTATCCCCTATTCTGCTGCCATTAACAGGCTTCCCAGGATCGACGCAAACAGCTAAAATTCAAATTGACGCCATGAATATCAGTATATCTTGTACCAATAATTTGACTACTACTGATCATTGATTTCTAATCTGTGTTGAGTTAATTTGATTTGATGTTTAGTAGAACTTAGTATTAAAGTTGGATATCAGCAACCGAAAGGAAATCGAAGGGTCTGACGCATACAATCGAGAAATTAATCGGGCAGGTTCGGTGGTAAATTCTAATTTGATTCTTGGATAATTTTGGCTCAGAGAAGGGTACGAAAAAGGTCTTACTCAAAGATTCGCAATAACGATAGCCGTTCTCTAATTGTGCCCTTTTTGTGGGCAGAAAGAGGGGACTAAATCGATAAGGGTGTTTTCTTTTTTAAGAAATATTCGTTGACTTTACTGTGAAAAGTCTTGATTGGATACGATACATTATATTGCATTCATCTCGAGGATAACACAACATGCACAGAAAGCGGCAGTCTTTTTATCACGGTTTATTCCATAGGTGTAAACGTTAAGGGATAAATTGAGTTCGTAACTATTCACCTTTGCATTGAGGCGTGGATGCACTCCACTTTCCATTAATACACACTACGTTTGGAGTGCCTGTTAGCTGAAATGCCGCAGAACATGTGAAGGATATTCGCTTGTTGTGAGTAAACTCGTTACCATGTCTGACACCATTTTTAGGAGTGCCTGGGTCCTTGCATGACGCTTAAGACGTACAGGAGAGATAGAGAAAGTAAGAAGCCAGTTCTTCTAAAGTCAGCCTGGTCAACAGTATTTTTATTGATGAGGAATAGTTGACTGATTTTATGCTTAGCATTATTGAATCTCCCAAGTCTACGGCGTTGGACAATTAATTAACCCCCTTCCAGATAGAAGTTTGAAAGACTGCTTAAACACACGGAATAGAAACAACACGATAACATAATCGTTTATCTCTCTGATAATTCCTAGAAGGCTCTAAAAGTAACGGAAACTTAAACTTTGCCTTATGGGAGATTCATACTTCTACTTTTGAACAATAGTTGTTACAGCGAACTTTCTCAGCACGTTCGTGACACCATCGCAAAAATCCGGATCGATTTTATGCGTGAAACTCAGAAATAGTGATAAAATTCATTTTCATCGTTTACCTTTGCAGACAGGGATAATAGAGCTCCATTTTCCGTCGTGGCACGTCGTAGACTGACTTCCCAGCAGGGTGAAATCCTTTAAACACACGAATTTCACCTGGCCACCGTGACCAAAATTAGAACCGATTCTTCTGCCATGTCTCGGTATACCAGGATCAAGACAGGATGCTGCAATTGACATTTACGGCAAAAAGTCTTASAACAGATTCACACTAAAACGCTGAAAAACGCTTTTCCTCTTCACTTAAACGGCGTCATTTTTCCAAATCAATCTCTCTAGGAAAGAAAGTTGATATCATTTCCGTATAAAGTTAAACGAAAACGATAATTGGATTACAATCCCCCACTCTTTACCTTTGTGTTGTAGTTCCGTGTGAAATGAAATTCGGTTGCAAGATTTTATGGCGTACATTGCTGTTAGCCTAGGTCTCGCTATCTTCATACAGAGAAAAGCAGAGCAGAATTCACAGAAAAGAAACACTTTTATGATCAGGCGGCAAGGGGAACAACCCTTGGTCTCTTAAGTACCGTCATTCCTGACGTAATTTTGCTGCTTACCTTTACACGTTGGCTTTGTTGTATTCCATTGTCCTGCTATGCAGAACGAGGTAGGTGAGCCCACCAAGTTAAAGTTTGGATTACATCTCTAAGCCACCATCTGACCATCTCGGAAATCGTCTCCGATTCTTGTTCCATTCTCTGGCATTCCAGGATCTCTACAAACAGCTTCAAAAGAGAGTCGGTACGTTACCCTAGCAGTAACATATCGCAACTGCACTTCCACGTGTTTAAGATGTCACCGTAAAGCAAAGTTGACCTCCATGAACTGCTGCTATGTCTGATGCTATTTAACTAAGGACATCCCCCAGCTAACTACCGGTATACGATCACCTATTGGTCCAAATATCCATGTTATTATCACGACCGCCTGACAGTGATGGCACTTTTATCAAGATTCCAAAGATCTATCTATTGGTTCTCCCTTATAATAATAATAATAGTACGGTATTTATATAGCGCTATTTCTATCACTATCCAATAGCGCTGTACAGTAATTTTATAAATCGGATTGATAAGATTAGAAAAATCATAAAAATCTCTAAAACATGAGTAGAAGAAACTAGCTAATAAGGTAGTCTGTAATAATGAGAGTAAAAACTTTAAACTTATATCGAAATTAACTAATTTCCTAGCCAATTAACTAGCTCACCAACTAATCAACCTATTTACTAGCTAGCTGTCTAGCGGCCTAACTTACTACTTAAATAATTAAATAACTCACCAAGCAGTAGTCTAATTATAAAATTTTTAAAAAGGTATGTCTTTATACAGGTCTTAAAATGTGATAGCGAGCCGCTCACTCTTATGTTGTTTGGAAGAGAGTTCCATAGAGTCGGTGCTACAAGAGAGAAACACCTCCCTTGTAGCCGCGACACATTTATTTACCAGTTAAGTTGAGTTAGGTTCACTGGTCAACACTTCCGTCTATTTTCATCGTCATTTGCTAGATAACGTCTTCATATTGCCAGGATAAATTATCTTTTGGTCACTTCGGCGTAAAAGCCTTCGAGGACCTTTATCTGTAATATGATGTTATCGTAGCTTCAATTACGAAGGACGGATAAAGTTTCATACCTCTACACGTGGGAATTTCGTTGCTCCATGTACCTTCACTACAAACGATTAGCTGACTTCCCACCAGCCAAAATCCTGGTTTACACCTGAACTGCAAGTGCTTGCCATGTCCAAAACTCCCGTCAACTCTTTCACCATTCACGGGTATTCCAGGGTCTGGGCAAGAAGCTGTGTACAAAGCAAAACCAGTTGCCATCTTATGGGCACATAACAACACAGCATACAACTTGGAAACGTAGTTATTTTTACCAATTACTTTAAAGTTCAGATAGAGTGACAGAAAGCAAACATTTTTAATGCTTAGAAAAAAAAGCAAGTGGCTGACACTCACGAAAAACATTTCAGGCTAACAACAAAGTCTGCATGCAATATTGTCTTTCAGATCTACCTGAACTTATCTCAACTTTCCTTAGCATTAGGAAACTTCGAAGCATGGGGGGAGAGAGTTATCGTAAGCGCAAGTAGGTTTCGTTTCCCCTCCCCAGCATTTTTATCACGTTCCCAGATTGTATTTGGTACTCTTTGATTCTCTTTGAAAGAATGCTAAGTAAAGCCGGATTCAGTAACTTTTTAAAGCTCTCAACAAGGTGATGGAAAATTGACATCGTCAAACTTTCTTCTAAATGTGAAAAGATGGTGGAATCTGTCCTTGAGCGTATTTCTGTTGTCCGATTAATCCAACGTGAGGTATTAGATAAAGAGAGAATCTCCCATTTTCAAACCTTTGCATTCTGGCAAAGCCGAGCTCCACCTTCCACCCATACAACGACTGATCGATGAACCAATGAGGCTGTAGTTTTCGTCGCAAGTAAACTCCACTGTGTCGCCGTCAATGAATGTGTTTCCTTTTCTTTTTCCATTCACTGGGACTCGAGGATCTTTACAAGTAGCTTTTTTTCCCGGTTATTTATATATAACAAAAAAAAATGGCAACATGAAAATTAAAAAAAAGCTGTAGATTCAGGAAAATTAACAAAAACATCATTCAAAGTAGTTTCAACCTCATTTTAAATTGATAGCATTTCGATCGTGACTAAGAGAGTTATAACTCGATTAATCCCGTTAACTATAAGTAAGACATCGATCTTGCGCTAACAGATAAAAAAAATACGTACAGACTTGGTTTCAACCGATGCTCTCCATTCGCTGAGGTACGAGTCCCGTACGAAAAGAGAGTGAGGAAAATAATCAACCTTAGGTCAAAATTTTATCTATTCCGTTTACATCATCTTTGTTGCATTAAGGGCTGCGGGAAAGGAAGGATGCTATTAAAAAGGCCTTAATTTGTCTGAAGAATCCCGCGGAATTAATGCGATAGAACAGTAGCGATCTAGATTGCAGCACAAAGTAACACAACTTACCTTGGCATTGAGGAAGACCATGACTCCACGCACCCTTATGACAAACAGATGTTGCGCTTCCCACCAACATGAAACCTTCCAAGCAGGCGAAGTTTACCTGTTTACCGTGACTAAAATCACTCCCATTTCGATTTCCGTTTGAAGGGTGTCCGGGGTCTTTACAGTCGACTAGAACGATAAAAAATGCTCTATAAACCTAATTAACCTCGGGAACTGTCATTATTATCGACCAGGGAAGGGGGGAGGGGGGAAGGATTTTGGCTGTGTCACGATAAAACTAAGCTGATTTCCCTGTGAGGCTATGTGATATTCTTATGATCATTCACATTGATAACTAATTGGCAATAACTGGAAATTAAAGCTCTAAATCATTTGACTTGAAGATAAAATGCCGTTAAAAGAAGATCTTTCAATGATACCTGGTGCAGAGCATCCAGAAAGCTCCAATCTTAGGCAGCAGGGTTTAGGATCGGTGCCACCCAACACTATTGGATCCTTGGGATAGATTCTAATCGACTGTGTTCTGATTGGAGGATCTAAGGTGTTCGACTTTAAGCCATTAATATTTTTGTTGCCTTCAAATTCCTGAAATGTTGACAGAAATTAAACTTATTAACTAGCTTATATGCATCATACCAATTAAGGTAACTTCGTAAAACTACATTTCACCTCTATCGCTTATAAATTTATGCGTAATTAACGAGCACACATTGTAGGCTTGTCCACTGTGGCTAAGGTTTGGATCTCTCTCACGCTCGTGGCAAATAAACTTAACATTTTCCTAGCTCGAAGAATCGCACTTTGGAAGTATTTTTAGCTGAAATGTAATACTCAATCATTTTCAGAAAACGTACTCAGTGACTTCCATATCTCTCCTGGAAATAACACTTCGAACGATAGATAAAAATAGCAATCCACAGTTAAAGTAGAAGAAACAAAATGAAACAAAAAGCAATGCAGGTACCTTATCGTATTCTTTCCAAGTTCCTTTTTCCAGATACTTGACTTTATATTTTTTTACCCACGCAAAATCAGATTTGCTTCCTTGAGTTGTTATGCTAGTGATTGACTTTGGTTCGACCAGTGTGATTTGTATGTATGGCAACTTGTCCTTTGGTGCCGATCACCAGGCCTTTGCTCCGTCCAAACGTGCAAAGTGAGGGGAGTTAACTGAACTTTTTGAAGATGATGCTGTAATACTCTCGTCTGGTATTCGTTTACTTTGCATTCCAAGGTCACCGCTACAGCTCTCTGCAAAAATGCAGTGAATAAAAACATGTGCACCTCTTGTGGGATGTTAGGGGTTTTAACCGCGGAACATTTGCCTCTTGCACGTTTCCCATCATAACCTTTGTCGGTCAGGATTTCTTTGGGCACGCACAGTTGTCGTAAGAGAAATTAAAAACAAAGATGGTGCAACAACGAAGTGTATTATGGGAGATGTAAGAGGGGTAAATTGAGCCATCAAGTTTTCACTCTTGGTTGAAAGTGGATGAAAATCCTACCATCCCTCAAAAAGGAAGCTTCCTGTTTCAAATCAAGACATGATATGAACTTTTGCGTGCTTTTAGATTTGCGACGGTTTGCATTATCCATGGGCGGAAATATCCGCAATACATCCAGAGCTCAGCTCATTACTAAAACACTAAAACGGGAACTCTTTTATAATTTGATTTTTCATGTGATGTGATGCTAATTCAGCCGTTCAAAGTTTTGGAAGCCCGGAAATCCTTTGCTTTGGGATTACGTAGGTTAATAATATCGTAAGCAAATCACGCAGACCTTTTTGTTTCTGACGTGTGCAATTTTCTTAGAGAACAGTTGAGAGTTTTTCAGTTTTATCCATTGGCGCTTTATTTAACGGTCGTTGTCATTTACCGTGAGTCTACAGTTTTCCGTGTTGGAATAAACGTGTCTGGTTTGATTTTCCGTCTCGCTTACGAACAGGGCGTACCCTTCTAGTCTGAGAATAACCTCTACACAAGAAAATTTTTTCATAAGGGGAGCGATTGCGCCTGAGAGCTGAAACTGAGTTGGGAGAAGAAATCCTTTTGATTTAAAAACTTGTCCTTTCAGATGCAACTTCAGTGATTGTTAATGGAAGTTCATTGTTTAAATAGCTTGGTAACTTTCCATTCTTTCCGTCTTTCATTCATTCATCTGTAAATGTGATAGACTGGTAAGTAGTTTAAACTCCCCCATAAGCCCGAATAGCTTTGTCAGAAAGACCAATTTTGTTTTGTAACCTTCGGACTCCCTTGCCCATCGGTAACGAGCGCCGAAAGTTGGAAGGAACGCAAACAATTCCTGATTTTGATGGTTCGGTGCAAGAGTTCTTCCAAGCAAAGAGGTAATTTTCCGTAGTTATCAAACATTCTGGCCGTTTTTATTGGACAAATACGCCATTGGAGACCGCAATAATGTCGACGTTATTACACCAATTTGACAAGATTTGAAGATTTTAATGACGTCATTTAGCGCAGCGTGCAGTGTGCAGCGTGACATTTTTCGCAGGTATCCTTACAGTATCTATGCTAAAGGAAGTCTAGAAAATCTGTCGTCAGCTTCGCTTCAGTCTCATCGTATTTCCTTACGTTATTATTATCAGTTTCTTTTCAAATGTTTTTTCACTATAATCATTTGTATTTTGGTTATACTCATTCTCGGATAACAAAAAGATGCATAGCAATGATTCTTAGGTAAAAAAAATATATGAAAAAAGATATATGAACATCACGCATTCTTAAATTTTCTCAAAGAAAGACATTTGTAGCCAACAAGATGTACAGTGAATCTATTTTCTTTCAGTTTATTTTAATGAGGATAATTTAATGTCATCCCCTTATCATTACTCACGGTTACGTCTATCGTTATCCGTTTTCTACGAGATGTCAAAATCATGCTCTCTTAAATCCAAAAGGTGAACATGTGCCCATGCAAGCTATTTATACCGTTTCTTGCGAGATGTCAAAATCATGCTCTCTAAACCCAAAAGGTGAACATGTGTCTGTGCAAGCTATTAATACGCAAGCATAAATAAACGATTACGGATGGTTTCGACGTGTTAGAGTATACCGCACTGTTAGACCTCATGAATTAAAAGGCATCACAGAAGTACTTAAATTCAGTTGAACCTGATTTTTGACGATTCCTATCCTATAATATCGAGGGGAAAGTCCACCAGTCGGGTTTATTTATCATAAACTATCAAATGCTGCCTTCGAAACCGCAGAAACCTGCATTCTTACCTTCTTGTGACGTGAAACGGCAGAAAACAAGTGTCCACAACAACAGTCGGTAGACGACTCGCATGATACCGTCTCCAAGGGAAATCTTCCGAAAAGTATTGCAAACGATTATTTTACACTTGGAACAGGACGTCGACACAGAAGATTGCTAGTGAGTCTGTTTTGACGTCTCACTCTATGGCGTCACGTTTCAACTGACGTGATGACAACAACACCCGTTGGAATTAGCACTCGGTTTTCCGGTCTATTGCAGTCAAATACACTACGTGTTGACTCGTTGCATACTTTCGTGGAGACATCATCCGATGAAAGATGAAACAAATCGAGTCTGTGGTTTCAGTTTCTTTAGGTATTTTCCGAAAAGACCCAAAAAGAAAGTGGCTCAGTGTGTTGTGGCTTTTCAAAACTTTCCTTTTGGGTCCTAGCTCAGGTAAAAGTGATGTACTATTTTTCAAATGTCTACCATCTCTGCCTCCTCTTTGGAGGAACTTCAATCCCACTTATATAATAAAATGGAACTAAAAAATTATTTAAGGTCCAATCTAAGGTTTTATTTTGTTTTCCTATTCTTTTAGGCTTGACTTTTAGCCCATCGGATTTTTTTGTTAATCATAAAGGACTCTTAATGGTTTCGTCTTTGTTGTTTTTGTCTTTCGTGAACACTTTATTCAATCGATACCATGCTCACAGAAATTAATTGGGAGTATTTCGAAAACTAGAAGCCAAAATACCAGTAATTGAAATATAACTGAAAAGCGGCTCACTAAGCTTACTCTCTTTGTAGAAACAATGTATAAAGCGAAACAAACAGTAATTCGTTAACACAATGTCCAGAAATAGTCCAGGCCAAATGTCACTGCAAAATAACACACGAACAATCACTTCCATGATCAATGGTCTATTTAAGGGTAACTCCAAAAAGCCCTTCTTTGAACAGTGCATATTTTGAACTATAAAAGTCCATAAACTGCATTGATTAGATAAGGCAGAGAATACACATCGCTTCAACGGACGGTTTCCGTTCCGACTACACGCTCTCAAGTTCTTAATATGACCTTTTAAATGCGACGGTTTTGGAACAGCAGTACTAGTATATATACCGAAACACAATATTACATTTCGTAAAAAATTACATGTACGGATTTGCGCTCACAAACCACGCGGTAAAGCGTCCGGGAAACAGGCAAAAAAATATGCCAAGCGAGAAATATTTCATACGTGACATAACTATTTCGAAATGGGGTTATGTCACGCATAAATATGTTTAGGTTACACAGAGTAACGTTCAGGTTTCGACTATTTTCCTTCTTCATTGATAAGCTGTACCTCAACCCATTCATGATCCCTAATCAATGCACCATGCCGTTTGGCTATTTCTCCGTATACTACTACCCAGGTGGGTATAGAAAAGATTAAAAGTAACCCTCAGGTATACACTTCCCAGGAGGGTATAGAAAAGATTAAAAGTAACCCTCAGGTATACACTTCCCAGGAGGGTATAGAAAAGATTAAAAGTAACCCTCAGGTATACACTTCCCAGGAGGGTATAGAAAAGATTAAAAGTAACCCTCAGGTATACACTTCCCAGGAGGGTATAGAAAAGATTAAAAGTAACCCTCAGGTATACACTTCCCAGGAGGGTATAGAAAAGATTAAAAGTAACCCTCAGGTATACACTTCCCAGGAGGGTATAGAAAAGATTAAAAGTAACCCTCAGGTATACACTTCCCAGGAGGGTATAGAAAAGATTAAAAGTAACCCTCAGGTATACACT